CAAAAAGTTATTACTATCCTTACACAAAAGCCAGTTTTAGTAATTTTTGATCCGAACCATCCGATCGAGTTGCATACTGATGCAAGTTCTCGGGGATACGGTGCCATCTTGTTACACAAAATCAATAACAAGTCTCATGTCATTGAATATTTTAGTAAGGCTGCTTCTCCGGCTGAATCACGTATCATTCTTATGAGTTAGAAACTCTTGCTGTTGTTTTGTCTATAAATCATTTTCGCCATTATCTATTGAGTAGAAATTGTGTTGTCTTCACTGATTGTAACTCACTTAAAGCATCAAGAACTCAAAAGTATCTATGTCCCAGGGTACAAAGATGGTGGGCGTATTTACAGTCCTTTACATTTGACATACAATATAAAGAAGGCAAACGAATGTCTCATGTTGACTTCTTTTCAAGAAATCCGCCTTCAGCAGAATTGACTTGCAAAACTCTAGAAAAACGAGTAAATTTGGCGGAAATATCTGACAATTGGCTTTTGGCCGAACAGCGTCAAGATTCTGAAATAGTTAATATTGTAAATAAATTGAAAGAAAATTCTCTTGCTGAGGACATTGCTAAAACTTACGAATTGAGAGCAGGAATACTTTATCGAAAAATTCAGCGAAATGGTAGAACTCGAACCTTATCAATTGTTCCTCGACCATTTAGATGGTCCGTAATAAATCAAGTTCATGAGTCCATCATGCATTTGGGATGGGAGAAGACTTTAGATAAGGCCTATGATTATTACTGGTTCGATAATATGTCCAAGTATATTCGGAAGTTTGTTGATAACTGCATTACATGTAAAATGTCGAAGTCTTCTTCGGGTAAAGTTCAAGTAAGTCTTCATCCAATACCAAAAGTAAATACACCTTGGCACACAATTCACTGGAAAGTTGAGTGGGAAGTCTGATCAGAAGGAATATATCATTGTTCAGGTGGACGCTTTCACTAAATTTGTTTATTTAACCCATACGCTTAAAATTGATGCTGAAAATTGCATAAATGCTGTCACGTCCGCTATTTCTCTATATGGAGTACCAAATCGCATAATAGCGGATCAGGGCAGATGTTTCGCCAGTACTAGATTTAGTGAGTTTTGTTCACAACAAAAAATTAATTTACATTTGAATAAAGAATTTATTAACGGCCGTTGAAACAAGCAATCGATCTTGGCAAGATGCATTGGGAGAAGTTCAATTAGCCTTAAACTGTACGGTTAGTCGAGTGACAAAAGCAAGCCCCTTGGAATTGTTTATAGGCAAAGTTGCTCGCCCGTTGGGGTTGCTTCCACCCTGCGATATGGTAGAAGAGGTCGACTTGGCGCAGGTCAAAATATTTCAGCTGCAGCAACATATAAAAAGGAGCAATTTGATAAAAACAAGGCTAAAATTGTTGGATGCAAGGTTGGAGATTTCGTATTGTTAAAAAATGAAGAAAGGCATCAGACAAAGTTAAGTCCAAAGTTTAGGGGGCCGTTTCAAATAACTGAACTATTAGAGGGGGATAGGTATATGCTCAGGTCTTTGACAAATAATAGAAAATATAAATATGCTCATGATGACGATGACATAAGAAAACAAGAAAGAAAGCAAACTTCGGCAAGCCGAAGTTCATATACCCTTGCAGCTATTGCATGAATTAAATACTTTTGAAAACATTTAAATTATGATTTACTTGAGTATATGCTGAAAAACATTGAAACTATAATGATTTGCAGCTCAATTATTAGATAGTTATTTTATATATTTTTATTATTTCTATCGGAGCTATATGCTATAGACGTCCGATTTTGATAAAATTTAAACCATAATTCTGAAATAATTAAACATTGCCATATGTCGAAGAACTAAACAAAAAATTAAAAAACAGAAAAGTTATAATTTTTTTTCATTTATTTTTCCGATTGTTCCTATGGGAGCTATATGCTATAGTCGTCCGATTTTGATGAAATTTAAAACATAATTCTGAAATATTTAACCATTACTATATCTCGAAGAACTAAACAAAAAATTAAAAAACAGCAAAGTTATAATTTTTTTTCATTTATTTTTCCGATTGTTCCTATGGCAGCTATATGCTATATTCGACCGATTTTGATGAAATTTAAACCGTAAATCGGAAATATTTAACCATTACTATATGTCGAAGAACTAAACAAAAAATTAAAAAACAGCAAAGTTATAATTTTTTTTCATTTATTTTTCCGATTGTTCCTATGGGAGCTATATGCTATAGTCGTCCGATCCGGCTCGTTCCGACTTATATACTACCTGCAATAGAAAGACAACTTTTGGGAAAGTTTCATGCAGATAGCTTTAAAACTGAGAGACTAGTTTGCATATAAACGGACGGACAGACGGACGGACAGACGGACGGACAGACGGACATGGCTAGATCGACTCTACTAGTGATGCTGATCAAGAATATATATACTTTATAGGGTCGGAAACGTCTCCTTCACTGCGTTGCAAACTTCTGACTGAAATTATAATACCCTCTGCAAGGGTATAAAAATGTCAAATGCTCAAATACCTGTTGAATTTGAAAGTTGTAATAAGGATTTAAATGTAATTGAAACTGAAACTGTTGAAAGAGACAGTAATAAAAAAAGTTGAATCAGAAACTGTTGAAAGAGACAGTAATGTAATAGTTGAAAAAGACACTGTTGAAAGAGACAGTAATGTAGTAGTTGAAAAAGACACTGTTGAAAGAGACAGTAACGTAGTAGTTGAAAAAGACACTGTTGAAAGAGACAGTACTGAAATAATGTAAACATAAACTGTTGAAAGAGACAGTAACGAAGTAGTTGAAAAGGACACTGTTGAAAGAGACAGTACTGAATAATGTAAAAATAAACTGTTGAAAGAGACAGTACTGAAATAATGTAAAGATAAACTGTTGAAAGAGACAGTACATTTTACAGAGACAGTACTGAAATAATGTAAAGATAAACTGTTGAAAGAGACAGTACATTTGTTTTTAAGAGTTAATAATAAAATCTGTTATAATAATGTAAGCACAAGTGCAAAACAATTGTTTTGATCATGCCGTGTGGCGCATTAGATAATATTTTGAGAAACCTGAGTGGTTAATGATAATGTAAAAATGAGCTGTATCAATAGGAAGATGTTATTTGTAATGAAAATAATAGATTTAGATGAAAAATTAAAAATTATATTTGAATAAGAAGTACCGTTTTAGCGGGGCGACAGCGCTGTGTCGCTGTCGCCGAGTGTGGTTCGGTGGAAAGCACAGAAAGAAGAAGGGATGACGCCAGTAGTTGCGTTTAGGATTTCGTGTGTGTAAAACCGAAACTCGCTGCGCTATTACAATGTCGGAAAATAATATCAATGCTGCAACATATTTATATATTTCTATTTTTTTAAACGATGTATTTTTTCGCGGATAAGGGTTGGCCCTTATAAAATAAATCTTACTGGTACACGCGTTATCTCGAACCGTTCCGGATGAAATTATTCTTAAAGAATGCAGTACTGAGGCCTTTAAAGAACTGATTCTTAGCAATTTGAGTGGTGTCATTTTATTATTCTAGCATTTTCACTTTATAGTTTGACATATACAGGGAGTGCATACAGGTATGTTTTACTCCTAAACCCAACCCGATTGGTTCTTAAATATAGAAAACCGCACCAAACACCTCTCTAATGGTTATCAGAAGTCAAATCAATATAAGGATGGATAACAAGTTACCGGGTGGTGAACGTGGTGTAGGAGGGTTCAGGAAGTAGGTAAATATTGATGGTATATCAACCTTGTCATTGGCTTAGGGTCAAGATGCTTAAGATGTTGCAATTCAACAGAATTTCCTGAAGCCTTAAGCTAATAGTAGCTGGAATATACGGGAGCGGGGGTATTTAACGGTTTTATAGTCAGTTAAATTTTTTCCAATTGCATTTACAAACAAATTTCATAATCAGTGTACATGATATCCGATGGAATCCATTCGTTTTATTTGCTTTCTTAACACTCTCGCCAAATTTGCGGACCGATCGTTATCGATTGAGAAAATGTACGAGAAAGCGAACGCGCATACCCACGAACTCTAATTTCAACCCCAACCCTGTTGTGTGTCCTGATGACTGCTCACAAACAGTCGGGAGGACGCACAAGTGGGTGGGGGTTGAAAAAGTTAAAAAAAAATCCTTGCAGTTTTTTATTTATATTTTGTTTTTAATTCTTTGACAAATAGTGTTGGTTTAATATTTCAGAATTACGGCTTTAATTTTATTAAAATCGGCCCACTGTAACATATAGCTCCCATGGAATCGAAATAAAAAAAAAAAAATTTTAAAAATGTATCATTTAAATTTTGTATTTTTTTCAACAAATTCTTTTGGACATAGTAATTAATTATTCATATATCATATAGCTGCCATAGGAATCATCTTATAGTTGAGCTGAAAATCATAATACCCCTAATGTTTTTCAATATATACGCTTATAAATTGAAATTTAGTGTTGTAAAGAATTATCTACTTTTGTAATAGCTCCAAGGGTATATAAAATTCAGGCAAAGCACAGAAGCGTTACAAAAAAATAAAAAAAAAACTTTATAATGTTTAAGTAAGCTTTTAGGGCTTGCTAAACTTATTTAGTTTCGATAAAATGAAAATGAATTAATTTTGTTTTTGAAACTGTACAACCTTTTCATTTTTCATGTTTTTAATAAACGTTTCTATTTACTATGAGCACAGACATCTGTCTTTAATTAAAACGGCATTATATTAAAAGCGAATGTAAAATAATGACAGCCGCAACTTTTAAACTTAATAAATTTCATATTTTATTTAGAGTAGCGACCTAAGACTTAATCATTTGAGTTTTACCTTACCGTTTTGAGTGGGCCCCATTAGTTAAGTTTCTTAAAAACCTTCAAGCGAAATAAAATTTAAAACGCATTTGGTGTTCGCAAAGCTATGAGAGCTTGGGAAAGATGTTCTTTATTGAAGTTATACATGGAAAGTCTACTTACCTTATGCATAGCATCTTGAGGTAAACGATTATCTCTAATCATACATGTGGCAACTTGTAGCCGCAGGAACGGGTCTTTTATTATCTTCGCGGTACATGCATGGTAAATGTTTGCTTGGCACTCCGCAGGTCCGTGCTGACATTCAAAAGATACTTTGTCATCAAATTCGTTTGTCCGTGCCTTGCCATAAGGCGCAAGTTTCACCTCCATAATTGATGCAGCAACCTTGAAAGTTGGGAGCAGCTGCTTGGTGAGGAAATACTTTGAGTCCGGACACAAAGCCTCATAAAACACCATTACAACCACGGGTACTGGAGGCCTTCCATTGCTTTCGTTGTACCGCTGGGTCTGGAATTAAAAAAAGAAGAGGTCAAAATTGAAGATTTTTTAGGGGGCCATAAAATATATCTCGGCGAGTTAGCGGAAATCCATTGCGCGAAAAAATTATTTGGGTGCCAAAAAACTCAGATTTGATTTAATAGCAATGAATACCGTAACAAGCAGAGAGCACGATTTCTATATTTGAAGGCTATTCTCGTTTTATATATAGACTTGCAGGGTGCCCGCAGCTACGGTTGCGACTATCTATATCCCAAAGCTATAATAGGATTTTGGAAAACTTTTTAATACTTTTTAACATAACATAATCTTAAACTTTTTAATACTTTTTAACATAAAATTATGTTATGTTAAAAAGTATTAAAAAGTTTTCCAAAATCCTATTATAGCTTGGGGATATAGATCGTCGCAACCGTTGCTGCGGGCACATAATCTTATGTTAAAAAGTATTAAAAAGTTTCCAAAATCCTAGAGACATTTATAAAAAAACTAAAACTAAGGACGGAAGAGGTTGAAATGCAAATATGAATTTATAGATTATTATAATTATAACAAAGAACACGAGAGTGTTTATAATTATTATAATTATTACAATTTGAAGTACATCTTGGCAAGTTAGGAGGATGGTAGTTTTGGGTTGGTCTAAAAGGCACATTAAAAGTTAGACGGCTTACCAATTCGATGAAGTCAATATCACCTTTGTTAAGATTGTGCATAAAAATAGTTGCAAGCATGATTCTACGAGAGTATGTATATTAAGTAATAAAAATCTACCAGAGTAAGAAGTCAACTTTATGTTTTGATCCCAGTTCAAACCACAAGAAGAAATTTTTTTGTACCGACTCAATATGATCAATGTGTATTTGATATTGGGGACTCCAACGATCAAAAGGATCGTCAAATTCTTTTGACCACCGCTTAATAAACCCAAGAACACTCATAGTCTTGTAAACAGAAGACTTGATGTGACAGTCGAACTTTAATTTTCGGTCAAGAAGAAGAAAATACCTTATAAATGAAGGCGTACCCCTATAAAAAGTCATTATGTTACATTTAAGGCAATTCATATTTAAGAGGCTAGATTGACACCATCTCTGAAAACAACCAATATCAGGCTGTAAACCGAAACCCGATTGCAAATTAATATAGGACAAACAAAGCTTAACATCATTAGCATACATTAATACTTGAGAATGTGTTATGACAGAAGGAAAATCATTGATGTATAAATTAGGCAATTGGAAACTGCGTTTCTAAAAAAAAACTTTCTGATTTCTTTTATTCAAATATCTTGAAATATAAGTTAATAGATTATTCGAAACCCAAGCTGATCTAATTTAAATAAAATTAAAATCTGTATATATAACATCAGTCTGCAATTTATTATTAAATCCTTTAGCTACAATAGATGTCAATTAAAGTAGGTTCGTGGAAGTTGATCTTCGCTAAACAAAATGAAGTTGATAAGGTGATATTAGCGAGGAACACAAATGTTGCAAATGAGAAGTAATAGTGCGCTCAAATGCTTTAGGTATTGCAGAAAACTTAGAAATACCTCTATAATTTTGAACATTCGACTTTCTTCCTCCTATTTTTTGGAGTGGATTAATAAAAGAATCTTTCCAGATAGTAAGAAAAACTGATGTTGAGGTAGACAATTGACTTACAAATAGTTAGGCACAAAACGTAAGCACGCACCCAGGAAGCCCGTCCGGTGTTGTGGTCTCCAAATCCCTTAGAAGAGAACTTTCTGTTATTACCGGGAAAAAAACAATTTGACTATTTTAAATTGTAAAGGTAAACAGAATTTAGACAAGAATCCGCACTTTAGGAAGTTTGGAAGAACTTGGCAAATAAATCAGCAATTTCAGAGTCAGTGACACTTTCAATATCCATGCAACTGTATACGTTTGTCCAGTTGTATTCGGGAGTCAATTAGTTTAGCTTATATAGTCACATTTACGGAAGCATTTCGTTTTAGTTTCACAAACTAAATAGACACAGTTATCAGGGCAAGGCAGGGAATTGACAATTCCATTCTGGGATGGTATCGGTCCTCTGGGATAACAAGAGGATCAATTCTATATATGTACAACGACCTCGGACGGACCCAAAACAAATACAAGATCTAATTTCCCATTTAAAGAGTTATGGATAAAGTTAATTTGTTCAATAATAGGTCTAAAAGTCCATCAACAAAGTCTGATCCGACAAAGGCGTGTAATTAAGGAGTCAGTAGGAGATGACCAAGAAAAAACAAAAATAGATGAGGCATGTAAGGACACTTTTACACTAACAAACCCTATTTCATTGGGGTAATCAGTCTGAATTATCTCCGATGTAAGACTGGAGTTAACAACAATAAGCACTCCACCTTCCCTAAGAGAAACGCGGTCAGTTTTATATGTGTTAAAGTTGTTGGAAAAACTTCCGAGTTGGAAATCTACGGTTTCAGCCAAGTTTCTGTGAAGACTAATAGAGAACAACAGAAAGTTTCTTTTCACCACCACTAAACACCTTGAACACTTTGAACATTTTTACTCCGCCTTTCTTAGGAAGGGAGTACTTCAGAACACGCAGTACCATTAGGTACAGGTGGCTGTAAAGCTTTTGATCCACTGGGCTGCTTTACAACTTCTCCAGTGACAAGGGCTGATCAGCTAGGTGCCGGTAAAGACTTATTAAAAGTATTTGAATTGAAATTGAGGAAGACTCCTTTTCTAAAACTGAATTTAAAGAAGCGGTGACTCATTTAGCAGTTTTTTACTACTAAACTGTTCACTTACCGTGTTAATCTCTTCAGTGAGTGGATTACAGACCGCAGATCTCTAACTCTGCCAACATATCCTGCACATTTAGCATGCATGATTGTATCGCAGAGCCAGCAGAAGATAATTTTATCTTTTGATGTAAATGGAAACTGGCAACCTTTCATTGCACAGGTAACAGATATAATCATATATATTTGCTTTATTTATAACATGTAAAGAAGCGAAAAAGTAATTTATAACGCAAAAAAAATAGAATAACAAATAAATACCTCGACAATTTGATACTGGGATCAAATGAAACAACAAACAGTGATTAAACAATTTAAAATAAAATAATTAAAACTCTAATAGTTAATACAGATTTATAAGAAAGGCCTATTTCCAAGCATATACAATGTCGTTGGATAAAGAAAAAACACCAGTACTTTCAAAAATTTATCAAGTTTTTCAAAAATCACAGAGCACAAGATATACACAACCGATCACAAGAAACGCAATTAACAGTATAGCGAAATAAAATATTTTGGGAAACTAAAATTAAGACTGGTTTACTGGTTATTAACTAAAAACAAAATAAAAGAAATAAAAACAAAACTAAGAGTTTTCCAAATCACAGCACTTTTAATTCAAAAATTCAATGCCAATACAGAACCCGCGCAATTTTTTAAATCGCAAGCTGCAACACACAAAACGCTCCAACACACCGATATGGCGGAGATATCGATAGCCAACAATCATCGGTAGAGCCATCACAAAACCCCCAAAGCAAGCTATCGGAAGCGGAATTGCCCCAATCGCTCACACTGGTCTCACTTACAGTCGCCTATATAAGTTTCTCCCAGAAGTCACGACCCGGAAGCGACATGGAGTAAAGGCAGGTCAAAAACTAAGGATGCCCTCCACTCCCAAATCCCACTAAGCCGAAGTAGATCGTTCCTCGTGACGAAGCTATGGTCAAATCACAGATCGTGAGAGCACAGCCCTTCCGCAGCGCCGAGTCTTCGTAGACATCAGCATCAGCGACCCACCCGAGAGCCGATGTCATAGGGACATCATCGAGCGACTACACATCGAGCAGGGAGAACGGCCTACACCGAAGCGCCGACACCTTGGAGAACGAAAACTTAATATACAAGCACATTCCACATTCCAAAGGGAGGTGAACCGATCTGAAGAGGAACCAAATCAAATATAAATTTCTGTCCCACAGTGAGCTATACAGCTTCCCGAAAAAGGGTCGTTCCAGTGGCGCCCGAGCAAATAAAAGAAGAGAGGAGAGAGGAGAGAGGAGAGAGCCGGATCACGCAGAAGAGACATGGTAATCCTACTTAAAAGCTGTGCATTGGACTAGTGTCACACCCATGCCGTCATGGAAAGTCTTTAGAAAAGAATTTCAGAAGTGTTACAGTCCAGCAGAACACGGGGAAAAGGCAACGGAAAGGATCACACGTAGATTTTAGGGCAAGGATGAGCCAGCAAAGAAATACACCCGAGAACTCTTCAAAATCACTAGATTAACTAGTCTCACAGAAGAGAAGAAATTATAGTGGATTTGCCGAAACAGTCGCGTGGAATTCAAATGGTACGCGAAGCGTGGAGAATCCCGAAAATTAACTTAGAACCTTCGATAAGCATAGAAGTTCGAGGCTCTCCGAGCAACGGAATCACAAGAAATAAAATAAACACAAGAACACACAGCACAATGGGGACTACAACAACCATCTGAGAATTACAACAACCACAACAGAATTACTGGAGACAACAACAACCGCATCAGAATTACTGGAGACCACTTGGAAACTAACGGAGACCCCAAATGCCGCCACAAGCACTAAACAGGGGCATGTCATGGCAAGCCAAATTCCATGGAGCGATCTAGCGTAAAGGCTGAAGCAAAGGTACGACCTATAGAAATGAGACTCAAAAGGTGGCAAATCAGGTGTGACAACCCCACCAAAGGCCGCTGGACGCATCGACTCATTCCGAAGATATAACCCTGGATTAAGCGGAAACATGAGGAGGTAAACTTCTACCTTAACCAGGTGCTCTGCAGACAGGGGTGCTTTCGCAGCTACCTTAAGAGGTTCGGGCACGCCTCGGAGAATGGCTGGCCCGAGTGCGGCAGCACTAGGTAGCGATGCTAGCTAGCCAGAGACTCTGCGAAACCTGGAGAGGCAGAGGGGGCAGCAGATGGAATAGATTCTTAGGGGCAGTCCCGCGTGAATTTCGACCCCCCGT